AGGTGAAACAGATATTTAACTCACCGTAGACAGTAAGATAAAAAAAAGACCTGCTGTAAATATTGATCTCTACTACATAAAGTCCAGCATGTTCAGTTGTGGTGCTTGTGATGGTCAGAGATCCAGTTTGATTGTCCAGCTTCAGTCTGTCTCAGAATCTCCCATCAAGAACATCATCATATACAGTCATGCTGTCGGCCTGTTTATTGATCACAGCTAAAGCGTTTTCACTCCCAAACCACCACTGAATCATATCATCATCCATTATTTCAGTACGACCAGAGTTTAGAGTGACTGAATCTCCCTCATTCACTGATATTTCATCTGTATCACCAAACACACAGAGAACAAACAGAAACAGGGGTTTTCACAGATTAATACTGTTAAATAAAACAACAAATAGAAAGAAAATGGTGAATGAATTCATTTCAATTTTGTCATAAAAAAGTGACTTTTTTTTTTTTACTCACGATAGACACAAAGAAAAAAATAAATCCTGATATGGTTGATCAGCAGTTCATAAATTCCAGCATGTTGAATTCTGGTGCTTTTGATTGTCAGAGATCCAGTTTGAAAATCCACCTTCAGTCTGTCTCTGAATCTCTCATAAATGTGATCATCATATACATCGATGCCCTTTGCTGTTACATTAAGTTCAATTATTAAAGAGTTTTCAATCCAAATCTTCCACAGAATCAGATCTTCATCCATCATTTCAGTAAGACCAGAGTTTAGAGTGACTGAATCTCCCTCCATCACTAATATATTATCTGTATCATTAAACACACAAAGAGAACAAACAGAAACAGGGTTTGTCACAGATTAAGACTGTTAAATAATCAACAAAAAGAAACAAAATTGTGAATGAATTAATTTCAAATTTGTCATAAAAAAGAAAAGAAAAAAAGGTGGTGACATTGTTTTTTTACTCACGATAGATGGTGAGAAAAAAATAAATCCTGATATGGTTGATTAGTAGTACATAACGTCCAGCATGTTGAATTCTGGTGTGTGTGATGGTCAGAGATTCAGTTTGATTGTCCAGCTTCAGTCTGTCTCTGAATCTCCCATCAAGAACATCCTCATATACAGACATGCTGTCAGCCTGTTTATTGATTTCAGCGATTAAAGAGTTTCCATTTCCAAACCACCACTGAATCTCATCATCATCCATTATTTCAGTAAGACCAGAGTTTAGTGTGACTGAATCTCCCTCGTTCACTGACACTGACTTCACTTCTGTATCACCAAACACACACAGAGAACAAAAAGAAACCGAGTTTGTTACAGATTAAGACTTTTAAATAACTGTAATTGTTTCTGAATATAAAACGTTTGAAACTGAGTGAATAATATGTGAATAATTATCATAAAACAATAGAGCAGACACAAAAAAAGCGAAGAAACAAAATGTGTGGATATTGTATTTGGTGATATTGGGG